ATGCATTTGACGGCCCTGTCAACAATGCATTGCCATATGGAGCACTGATCAAGGAGCTGGTACATGTGTGTATCTTGACAGATTCAGTATCTTGGTTTAGTGCACTAGAGCCTCTGAGTAGGATGACCTGGAGGGCAATGAAGATTCCAGAGGGTCCAGGAAAGCCAGACTTTGATGATCGGGTACTCGACTACCTTGGCAGGATGGAGGAGGTGGTCCACATGCAAACTCTGTCCATTCAGGACATGCAGGCAACTCTTGCATCATAGGGTCGTCAGATTCAGGACACCAGTGAGTACGTGAGAGACCTGAGACTCCATCACATGCCAGCTTGGAGGAGAGCAGCCGAGGTAGCTCGGGTGCTTGAGTAGTGTTTGATGGTTTACACACAAGGATCAATGATGACCGACCTAATCCCAATTAGGTCCCCCTGTGGAGGTCGTCTAGGAGTCCTTGTCCTTTTTGTAGAGGATTAGGTTTTTATAATTTTTATAGTTGTTTGTTTTTCATAACTGTCAGTTGTGTGTGTTGCATATCTTTTGACATGTTATGTTTATAGTTGGTGTGAACCTAGAAAATAATGCTTTTACGCTCTGGTATTAGGTATACTGCTTTGGTTGTTAATAAGTTAGAGGTGAATCCGATAGATTTCGATCTTGATAATAGTCCTCTAGGCTTAGCAAATAGTGCTTTTGAATTAGATTCCGATAGTAGCAACTTGATCCATCCTGTTGAAATGGCCAAACCTGAAAGGCCACTTCGTGATTTTTTTGCTTTCTTATCTACCGGACATCCTAATTGCATCGTTCTACCTGCGCTTGAAGATGGAGCGGATTTCAAACTCCACGTTGGCATCATTAACATGTTGCCAAAGTTCTCTGGTCATGAGCGAGAAGACCCTTATACTCACTTACATCAATTCGTCCAAATATGCTCAACTCTTAATGAAACTAGACTTGGCGTTGATGGTATTCGTTTAAGGCTATTCCCGTTCTCTCTGAATGACAAAGCATCTCAATGGTTACACTCGTTAGCCGGAAACTCTATCCGCACTTGGGATCATTTGAACACAAAATTTCTAACTAAGTTCTATCCCATGTCACGGACAATAGAGCTAAGAAACAAGATCCAAACTTTTAGACAGAAGCATACGGATGAGTTCTTCGAAGTTTGGGAAAGATTTGGGGAGCTGCAGATACAATGTCCGCATCATCAAATCCCAATGGAAACATTAGTTCAGTGCTTTTACAATAGTCTAAACCCGACGACTCGTGTTTTAGTAGAATCTATGAATGAAGGGCAATTCCTTAGTAAAACCG